ATCACATAGGAAGAGCAGCCACATGCGCTAGCGCGCATCATGGAATATGCCAGCAGAGCAATTGCTATTCATAACGCCATGTTAACTGAATAACGTTGTTTATGTCTTAAATTTTAACATGTTTAAGATCTGACGACTTGTTGTTCGAATATCAACTCGAGCAACGTATATCAATTTGTATCAATTCGTAATATACAACAAATTAATAATTATCAATATCTTGTGATTTTTTAAATGTGTTCAAAATGTCTAAGTTGATAAAGACACCAAATAATGTGATATTGGCAATGCTAGTGAGTTCCATTAGGATTAGATAGTAAATAACATCCTTTGGTATCTTGCACAAATGCCTGGTAATGTATCGTAATTTTTTGTGAGAAAACTTGTTTAAGTAGCAACTTTAATGACAAATTCTCGGAAAAAATTATAGATTATTGAGGAACGTGTTGTCTGACGTTAAATTGAGTACATAAATATGTATATCATGGTCTTTCAATGAGAATAAAAACGTCATATTTAAAAATTCTACGATTTTGTGAGATTTTAAATATAAACAAAGATTTCAATCCTTTGAGGTGCAGACAGGGGTAAGACAAGGCTACTGTCACCGATAATTTTCCTAGTGGTGGTGGACATGATCATGCGGGAACCTATAGAGATGGCAAGACAGGAGTTCAGGATTTTCACTCAGTGCTTGGAAGACCTCGACTTTGCTGATGACCTTTGTCTTATGTCCCAAAAATATGAATACATGCAGCTTAAGACAGATAGGCTTGCCAAAGAAGCAGCAAAGACAAGTCTACGGGTCAAGATTGACAAGACAGAGGTAATGCGACTCCACAACAAACAGCAAACACCAATCACGCTTGGAGAGCATAACCTGAAAGACATAGACACCTTTACATACTTATGAAGCATTGTCTCAGATACTGGTGGAACAGATGAAGACATAAAAGCAAGGACAAATAAAGCAAGACACGCCTTCATCACCCTCAAGCCTGTTTGGAGATCCACAGCACTGGCCACACGCACCAAACTCTGTATCTATAACAGTAATGTTAAGTATGTGCTCCTCTACGGATTCGAAACATGGAGAGTCACCAACACCACCTCCAACAAACTACAAACCTTCACAAATAGATGTCACATACTAAACGTCAGGTGGCCAGAAAAGATAAGCCATAAGAGCCTATGGAAAGCAACAAATCAAGACCCGATCACTCAGCAAATAGCCCGTAGAAAGTGGCGGTGGATTGGGCATACCCTCAGAAAACCATCGGGAGACATTAAACGCCACGTTTTCGAGTGGAACCCCCAAGGCAAACGCCGGGTTGGGCGTCGGAGGACAACTTGGGGAAGGTCATGCAAAGAGAAAATCAGACAGTGTGGACAGAGCTGGGAACAACTGAAAAAGGCTGCTCAAAACGGAGTGCGCTGGATAACTGTTGCTGAGGCCCTATGTTCCACCAGGAACCAAAAGGAACCATGATGAAGACTTCATCATATAGTTCAAAACTGAAGTTCAGGGGTCAAATTTCACGTGCTTAATGGTACCGTCTATCTTGCATATCTTGTATCTTTCTGTCTTTAATCTTTCATAGATCGAACTATCGAAAGTAGGACTCGACAAATAAATCTTAGTGAATTTTTTTATTGTCTTATTGTTTACGCAACATACATAATGGATGTCAATCACTGCATGAAAATGAATTAGATAATTTGAAATATCATACTTAGTTATCCTGATGCTTCTTTAATCCGGAGACGAAGACATTCGTGTTAACGAGGTACCACTGATAACATTTTTCTTGATTACATTTTGCGTTTATCGTGTTAAGTAACACATTGAGAAAAGCTGTTTACCGTCCTATCGAAAGAACGAATTAATTGTATTCTGGAAACTTACAGTCATTTTGTAATTTACATTAATTAATCTAGAAATTGTCGGCATTAACTTAAAATGTAATATCGAAAAAATTAATACTTTTATATTTTTCTTCGATATTACATCAAGTGTTATTCAATGATTAATTTGTCAACATGATATTTGAAGTAAAATATATGTATATGTGTACTTTATAATTCATATCATTTTCATGCTCATCACACATCTTATCTATCTTAATAAATTATATGTATCATAGAGAACAGAGCGGGTTATTATATGTGTTACAGAGAACAGAGTGGACAAGATGCTCCTGTGCTCCACATTTGGAATAATAAACGGATACAAGATATTTTTCGTAGAACTCGTATTTAACATGTAGCATACGTGTATTCCATTTGTTGTGACCACATCTAGTTCGGTAACTCCTGTATGATAACCTACAAATTAATGGTTTTAATAGAAAGAACAATGCGCTCTTTTTTATTGCATACAAAATTAAAAAAAATATATATATGGAACATCTAAACAGTTCAGGGATAAATACAGTTACGTATTGTGTATGACATTCGTTTTTAGTCATTTCCTTTTAAACTGTGGAAATTGGAACATAAATGAATTCTGTTAAATAAATGGCTTATATTTTCATTTATGTCTTTGACTCCTGATCATCAAATCATTGTGTAAAAAGACCCTATCACACAGACTATCTTCTGTTTAAGAGTACAGTCCCGGAAAGAAGCTGCCCACTTCTACATTTACATACATGTATGACATGAGGGTTGTCCCGGAATTATTTTTTTTTTTAGATATTTCATAGAGTAATGGATCAAATTTATTAATTTTTGCACACTGTTGGAAAATGATTTTTTTTTTTTTTTTTTTTTTTTTTTTTTTTTTTTTTTTGCTTGTTGTTTTTTAAGCTCACCTGAGCCGAAGGCTGATCGAAATTTGTCCGTTATCTGTCGTCGTTGTCGTTGTAAACGTTTCATATTTTCATCTTCTTCTCAAGAACCACTAGGCCAATTTCAACCAAACTTGCCACAAAGTATTCTTGGGTAAAGGGATTCAAGTTTGTTCAAATGAACGGCCACGCCTTCTTCCAAGGGGAGATAATTAAGAATTCGTGAAAAATTAATGGCGTCATTTAAAAATCTTCTCAAGAACCATTGTGCTTGAAAATATTAAGCATACGTGGAATCATTGTGAGGTAATGTAGATTCAAATTTGTTCAAATCATGACCCCCAGGGGTAGTTTGGGGCCACAATGGGCGATCAAATTTTTACATAGGAATACAAATAGGAAAAAATTTGATAAATTCCTCTTCTCAAGAACAGCAAAGCCATGGTTGGTCATATTTATATGGAAGCTTCCTCTGGTAGTGTAGTGTAGAATCAAGTTTGTTCAAATCATGACCAGGTTAGTTATATACAAAGGAATATAAAGGATACATCAATAAAAATTTTCTTAAGAACAGCTAAGTCATGACTATGTGTCATATTTATTCAAAAACATTCTAAGGAAGTGTAGATTCAAGTTTGTTCAAATCATACTACCCTTCTCCCCACTTCCCCACCCGAACCACTTTTATATTCAAACTTTTCAATTCTGAACTGATTACTGCTTTTTCCCCACATGTAGCCAAAGTGCTTAGGTGAGAGCTGTCGCCCCTGGGCCTCATGTTTTGACATAATATAATATTACGAGGTTATTCAGTCATTGCATATGGAAACAGGATGGAATTTCGGTGGTCGATTCAACGCAACTTTTAAGGATAGGAGAAGAGAAGACTTAAGTATATGTTGTTTGGAACGGTAGGTGTATTTGGCTATGAATTCAGTATTTTATAAGTCGTATCAACCTACCCCTAAGGGGAGGGGGTGATTTGAACAATCTTGAATCTACGCTGAGGATGCTTCCATATTTCTTTGACAAATCATGGCTTAAGAAGATTTTTAAAGATTTTTTCCTACAAAATTTATCTTCTATTGTGGCAACACCCTACCCCCAGGGGACATAATCTTTGCTGTTCTTGAGAAGATTTTTAAAGGATTCTCCAGTGTATATTTATGTAAAAACCTTGACCGTCCATTGTGGCCCCACCCTAACCCTTTGGGTCGTGAATTGAACAAACTTGAATCTACACTACCTTAGGATGCTTCCATATAAATATATATAAATCATGGCTTTTCTGTTCTTGAGAAGATTTTTCAAGATTTATTCTATGTATACATGTATCTATGTAAACCTTTCATCGTCCATTGTAACCCCACCCTACCCTTGGTGTACTGATTTGAGCAACCTTAAATACACACTACCTGAGGATGCTTCCGTGTAAATATGTTTAATCATGGCTTTGCTGTTTTTGAAAAGAAGATTTTTAGTGATTTTTACCATGTATTCCTACGTAAAACTTTGATCATCCATTGTGGCCCCACCCCAGGGGTCATGATTTGAACACACTTGAATCTACACTACCTGAGGATGTTTTCATAATAAATTTTATCTTTCCTTGTCCATTGGTTCTTGAGAAGAAGATTTTTAAAACATGCCACCAAATTTTCACTATTTCTTAATTATCTCCCCTTGAAAAAGGAATAGGCCTTTCATTTGAACAAACTTGAATCTCTTTCACCCAAGGATGCGTTGTGGCAAGTTTGGTCAAAACTGGCCCATTGGTACTTGAGAAGAAGATGACATTGTAAAAAGTTAACGAATACGACAGACATCGGACAAATTTTGATCAGAAAAGTTTACTTGAGCCTTCGGCTCGACCTAGCTGCATGTGGTCCCTTCGTGATCCATTCTTATCAAATATCCATGGCCAGGGGTAAATAGTACAATAGATTTAATGTGGAGGTGCTTTATAGACATCATATCAAACTAAGCAAATACATGTAAGATAGCGGCGTTCTTAGGATAAAATATAATCGATTGTAGTAAATGATGTAATTCCTTTTGATTTGATTTGTCCAAGCTTTAAAATTTGTCAAATGAAGGAGATACATGTAACTTACTAGATAAGTGCAGTAGTATAACATATAAATCAATAATTTATTCTATATAAATAATATGCTTATGCATAACCAAAATAAAACAAAACATAAAATATAGTTCATAAATGTATATCACAGACAATCACATCTGTGTGTCAGACCTCACTGAGCTAGAACAATTTCCAAGTCCTAAACTATTTGTTCTTAACATAGAACAGAATTTCATTTATTTCAACAATAGAGCATAAATATTAAGAACTCTTCTTTTTTTTTCTTTTTTTTCTTGGACAGAGCCATAGAACCTCCAAATATCAGCCTATACTATAAATAGAACTTTGAGGTCCCGTTACCGTCACCACTGGATTTTCATCCACTTCAGAAGTCCTTTCTGTTTCACTGTCCACGTGGTCAACATTTGAAGAAGTCATTATATCCGTAATTATGCTATCATTTTCCCTGTTGTATTGCAGCAGTATGGAATCTGAAGTCACACTTTCGGACCTAGTATAATCTCGTGAGATTTCACTGGTGTTTACATAAACGTCTGTGTTCCGAATTGCCTGTTGACATATCTCTTGTTCGTTGCTTACATTCGGAACATTTTCTGGAAAATAGTCTGTTTCTTGTTCTCTTTTAAGAGTCTCATAACTAAAAACTTCGTTGTATGAAGGCGGCTGGGAGTACCATTCTGGGGAGAAACCATTATTGTCATAGCCCAATACCGTCTCTTCGTAGGTAGGAGGTAAACTTATGTCTCCCTGTGTACTACGCCGCAAATCTACAAAAATTAACAATGCAACTAACTTTATACAAATTTAGAGGGTTATTTATTAAATACTTGTAAAGAGAGTAATGATTTTTGTGGCAAGTTTATAAAAAAGACTTTATGACTCAAATAGTTTATGTTGAAAACTATCATACCTGGAATTAAGTTGTCAGATTATTGCACAAATTTTATATAAAAAGGTGGGGCTAAAAATTTATGATGAAAGAGGTTGGCTTTTTAGGGGGAGCTAGGGGTTACTCCAATTAAAGATGTATAATAACACTTACTGCCACTTATGTGTGTTACATTTGGCACTGTCCTTTGTCTGTTATCACGGCGTTGTTTAGACGTAGCCAGCCAGACACAAACACAGAAAAACAACAACACCAGACACCCTGTTAGTGTCCCTATAACGATCCCTACAATCTCGCTAACTGATCTGAAATCACAGTCATAATAATTACTAAAATATGCTGTAATGGTGTAAAAAGGAAGACTTTTTAATGAAATATAAAAAAGAGGACAAAATTCTATTTCTAGTGAAGTATGTGCTCGTACAGAATACTTTACTCTGTACTTATAAGAGAGGGGTGTTCGTACATATTCAGTATACTTTACTTTGAATTTATAAGAGAGGTAATTTGAACATAAGATTAAAATAAGAATTTGTGGCTACTTTTAAGTGGAATGTTACAATATAATCGAGTTCAATCTAAGCAGGCTTTACTGTACATAATAAAGCAGAAATAGTTTTAGCCAATTATTTTTGTAAGTGTGATATAAGTCTACATGTACAAAGAATTAAAGCCACTCTTGATCAGTTATAGAGCTCTTTGGATTTGTACATATTTATCTTATGTTTTTGTTATAGATGGCACTAGAATTTTCTGTCTTAATTCCACTTGTTTACCCACTGATGCACAGGGTATACTTATTTATTCATCCTTGGTATATCATACTTTACAATCTTTGAAATTCTGCAAGTTTTCATTGTACAATTCATATGTGTATAATGATATAATTACGTGGTTTGTCCTTGAACGAAATCACAACAATATTGTGAATTGATATCTCCACAGCAACTGTCTGAGCAGTAGATATCTGTGTACCGCTTCCGGTATCGTATTCTTCCGGAGATGTAATAACTTTGTATGTACGCATGCGTACAAATGGTACCAGCTGTAACATCAACTAATAAATAGATAATTAGAATGCTGTTATTAATTTCTAGTCGATATCAATATACTCTTAATTCGTTGCATCATGTTATAATATCCGTTCATATCCTGAAATTTTTCATCAATAATAGACTTAAAATATGTACAACAGTTAAACAGCTGTTGATAGGACATTAACTAAACAAATATTCCGAGAGTTTGATATGAAAACACTATAAAGTGCCTGCAAAAAAAAAATAAATAAAAATCAAACACAATTTCTGCATGAAAGACTTGGTAACAGTGATGGATATTTCGTCAACCGCCTGTTTTCAATCAATGTTATTAATGTTTTTCGTTGGGAAAATTTAAATCCTTGTAGGTCATTTTTAAGACACATGTATCTTGGAAACGGTCAAAGCATAGAATATTTATATATAGGTAGACACGTTAATATTCCTATAAGTTTTGTGATTGACCTCATCACCGCTCATATTAATAAAAGATCAAGAAAACAGGATATTAACTAAGCAGAAAGCATGTAATACATGCATTAGATATATGACCTAATCAAGATGACAATTAATTGCTGCCTAATTAATATTATGTTCTCCAGAGTTCATTAAATGTCAGTTTTACAGCGTCTGGTTATCGTACGAAAAAAGAGACCGAAAATCTGTCTGTAGAACACACATAAAATAACATTCAAACGTTAGATCAAATGCAGAAATATATTTCTATGTTAGTTGCGAGATGTTTCTTATAACTTGTATAAAGTCTGTATAGTTTGTCTTGAATAAATTTTATATAGGAAATTATACGATGAATGATCCCCTAAAACATTAATTTTTTTAATGAAATATTGTGTGTCATATTCACGTTATGTATAATGGTCATGCATATGATCAATGGTGGGGTTAATTCATCAACATCATACGTGAAAATCACAAGCATTGCATCAACATCGTATTGTTTTTAATCATAAGAAGATTGCAATGCATGGTTACATTTTTTTATAGAACACTTGTTCAACCATATTGATATTTACATTGATATTCAAAGTTAAAAGTAGTCATCTAATAAAACTTATCATTTCTAAGTTTGTAACAACTTAGAGGGAAGCAATTTTCAAGTACCGGACTAATATCAAAAACTTCAGATTTACTTCCTTAAAATTAAAACATGTCATTAATACAAATGGGGAAGTCGAATCTACTCAAAATGCAGCCGTTAAAAGAAATCAAGTGGCCGATTCATGTAATGATATAGGCTTTTTTTTAAGAATACACGTAACAGAGAGAAAGAGAAAAAGAGAGAGATTTTCATCATAGATTAACACTGAAAATATGGATGCAATTTTTGAAAACTTCTCACTACCTTGTCTAGTAAATAATTTTATTCAGAATTTTGTTGTAGAAACATGAATTTAAATCACCCACTATTGGCGACATATATATTTGCTCTCCTTTGAATTTTTTTTACATTTTTCTTCATCTTATTTTCAGCTCTTATTCGGATACTGCTATATATTTAGTGTACAAACAATAAGGACTTTACAACAAGGTGAAGACGTAAACAACCCAGTTTGATGTATGAACATTGTCACTTTAAGACATTGTAAAAGACAGGTAGATACCTGGGGCCAGAAAAAATATTTAAAGACAAAGCATAAAATTCTCTACCTACCTAGATAAGATAGTAATCCCAATACAGCAAAAATGTCAGTGGTTCCCATGTAGAAAGGACAAAAAACAAAGCGAGCACCTTTGCAACTAACGAATCCCGTTTATCTATTTACTTCACTTGTGTCAATATCCCTAAATGACGTTTGTTCCGGATGATTATATCAATTTTGTACACATGCAGTTACATCCTGCATTACATTACAAGACAAAACGTTGATCACGCTAATTATGACCAGATTACACATTTAGGGGCGGATCTATAAATTAAGGATCCCATAAAATGTTTTCATTATGTCCCGTTTTCTTACCAGAACTGTTTATAAGAGATACAAGCATTTCACGGTCGAATTCTCCTTGTCGAGGCCTTTATATTATTGGAGGTGTCTTAGTGACAGATTTTAAATCCCGTGTAACGACACAGGGGGGCGACACGCCAGCATGATTACTTTCAAAAGTTTTAATCGGTTAATATTACGTAATGAGAATGAAATGAGAAAATCTATTTTAGCTCATATGATTTCAATTAAAAGTCCTTATCATAATAGGAATTTATACATATAGTATGTATAAAATAATATCATGAAATTGTCTTCTCTTTCTCTCTCTCTCTCTCATTATGCAAGAAAATATACTAGCATATCAAAATAGAGGATGTGTACATATGAAACTTCAACATTTTAATTATATTGATCCTTTTGTTACATGATTTTCATTTTTATGAAATGTTGATATAAATTTAAATATCAGCCATAGAATTCTGGGGCTCGTGACATTCTTAAAAATACCCTTTAAAATGACACAATGTGAATAAAAAACTTCTAAAATGTAATCTGAAACTTTTATCGCTTTTTCACGTAGGCCAAGGTTATGTGTTAGGCCATCTTTAAATAAATGTTTGCTTCCCCTCTCCCGACTCAGGATATAAAAAATTTAGTAGGTAGGTAGAAAGAATTTTTTAAAATTCAAAAACACTTGCAAATTTGATGTTAAAATAGTTATTAATGGTATGAGAAAACTTAGAAATGAATAAAAAATAATTGTTTTCTGGAGGTTAAAAAAAGTTTTGAGTCGGAGCATTCTAGTCGGTCGGGAAAGGGCACACAAACAATTTGTTAAAGATGGTCTCAGTGATTGCTCATTTGAATTTTGCAGTTGCAGGTTAATTTACAAGGAGATACTTAATACCGTTTGCCTCAACCCAATAAATTTAGAATTATCAACCTCATACATGTAACTACTGCCGTTTATTTATTTTCAGTCTGAAGTTGAAAATGATTACATCATCGGACAAAATACATTTTTAACTTCAGATTAAAAATTAATAAACGAAAGGTGGAGGGGTGGGGCAACTTCCCTAAAAAGTTGACAAGCAAAAATAAAAAAAAAAAACAAAAACAAAGAAAAAAAAAACAAAACAAAAAACAAAAAAAAAAAAAAACAAAACAAAACAAAACCTAATTAACTGTCAAAATCCTGGAATTTGCCAATACCCGACTTTACAGCAACAAGGCGGGGGGGGGGGGGGGGGGTTCAGCATCTAAAGGAAAATTTACTATAGCAAAATACAATACTCGGTTTCGTCGAGAGAAAATAAAGATAAAAGAGGAATTTAAACACGGAACACGGGTATTATGAGTGGAAATAAAATCAATAGAGATGGTGTTTGTTTAAAAATGTTTATTCATTGCTATACACTGTACGTACATGACATGAATTTAACAGCAGACGTTGATGCCTGTGTACATATACATGTAAGTAAAAGGAATACATTTAAGTATTGAATAAACTACGGAAGCCAGTAGGTGCCATGTAGAAAAATATTTATCTGGCGGGCGTCAAATAAGTTTCTGGCCGCCAAATAATTTTTTGTCGGCCGCCAGTTATTCATGTGGATAATTAACCTGTTTTAATTTGTCACCATTGTTTATGTTTATCTCTGTATACAATTGTAAAATTGTGATGAGATTTATAAATCTAGTTCAGTTCAGTTTCTTCATAAACAGTATGTAAAAAGAAAATCATTTTCTAAGAATGAATCCAAGAGAGAGAGAGAGAGAGAGAGAGAGAGAGAGAGAGAGGGAGGGAGGGAGGGGCACAAAGTACATGCATATGAATGTTGACTTAGGTGTGGGAAAGATTTCCTTACAAAATACACGTAAGTATACTTAAATTAATTCTTCCTATCTAAGTTTTCAATGAGGATCTCTTTGTTGCTTTGTTAAATTAAAAGTTTAAATCTAAACAATTTAAACTTATTTATAACTAAGTTTAAACTTTAGATTCAAACTTTTAATGTAACACATTATTATCTGTATTAATTGATATAACATTATCATTCACTATTTAATCAGCATCTGTTCTGAGGAACATATGGAGGACAATACAAGAAAAAGCAGCGAGTCTTCAATTTGGTATCTGCAATTTGTACATTAAATGGCTATTCATTGAAATGATTCAGCATTAAGCTTACTGCATTTATTTCTAAACTGACATTGTAATTTATTTCCAATTCCATTACTTTAATTGCACATCTTGAATTGAATTGGTAATGTTGGTGTTACTTTTAAATCTTTTTTAAAACTTTGTACTGCAGGGGAAATTTTACATCAGGTATATGCAACAGGAAAGGAGAAATGAAATATATGGAGATAACGAACAGTATTCAAGTTCAAAAGTCCATTAAACATTACAAAATAGGAGCAGAGCAAACACGGACCTCCAAAACATCATAGGTGGGATCAGGTGCCATGGAGGAGTAAGCATCCCCTGCCGACCGGTCACACCCGCCGTGTGCTCCTTGTCATGATCGGGAAATAACGGAAAAATCCGTCGACAATTCAGTGTGTAAATAATGGCCTAACAATTAGTATGAAAAAAAGTCAGTCAGCATTTGACTCAATGATAAATTGTATTTGCTGACAAGGTCATTGTATCGACCATAGAACTTACGAAATGATGACTTTAAACGAGACTGCTGATATTCTTGTTTCATCAACTTGTTTGTCAATAATTTACCTCGTTTTAGAAATTGTACAAACGTAGAGCATGCTCTTGCGTATCGAATCAACTGAGAGATATAAACCCCTTATGCATGTGATGAAGGTATATTGCTGCATAACTAAGGGAAGTTGACGATTGAAAAGATAAAGTCATCACGTTTATCATAAAGCATGGTTGTTAGATTACCATTAACGTCTTTTTCAAGAAAATAAATCAAATATGAAACAGATGTGTCAGACTCTGTGGTATCTTTTATCTCAAGCTCACCGGGATATATCGTATCAACGTAAGAATGGAAATAACCATTGTTAATTGACAATACGTCGTCGATATACATGTATCTAAATGTCGAGTTGAAGGCCACAGCAAGTGTTTTCTTCTTTTCATGTATAAGAATTTGGACAAATTCTGCTTCATATGAATACAAAAAAGGTCTGCTAATAACGGGGCGCAATTGATACCCAGGGGAATTCCAATAGATTGTTGGAAGACCTGGTCTCCAAAAACCACATAAATATTGTCAATCAGAAACTCAAGCATCTTTTTAATGTCGACTTCAGAGTATTTATGTGTACAATCAGAATGTTTTTTAACAAAATAATTTTGCAAATGACCAATGACAAGTTAAGTAAATTTACGAGTTCCATTTTTATTAAAAAAGCAGCTGTCAATGATATCAAAAAACCTGGACTTTAATTTATCGTGGGGAATGATTGTGTATAAAGTTGAAAAGTTGTAATTAAGCTTTTAAGCTGTTGATTTTGGTAAAATCTTTTGATTTCAAATTTTCCAAAAGTTCCTTGGAATTTTTAAGTATCCACGTCTGATTTACACCACTTCTCGAATATATTATACCACTTCTCGAATATATTGTTGCACAGTACTCTTGAAGTTTCTCCTTCACTACTGTTAATATCTTAGTGAGGAGTAAAGAAAGAGGCTTGGTTGAACATTTACTGGAACCCGCTACGTATCTTTGTTTGTAAGGATTTTTATGAAGTTTCGGAATCCAATATAGATATGGTAATTCAAATTCATTTTGGTTGTTTGGAATATTAAAAATATTCAAAACTGACATATGATTTTGAGGAATTTCTTCCTTAGAAAGAGAACTATAAGTTGGATTACCACTTGTAGAATTAAATCCACGTTCCTCTAAAATACATTTAATATAATGAGCCTTGCAAACAAAGACAATGTATGGCTGGGCCGGGAGTCAAACCCGGGACCCCTGCATCTGACATAGTCTAGTAAGTCTACCTACTGAGCTATCCAGGTCGATGTCCACGGCCCAAACCATTACATTCCTCCATTCTTAAAATGTCTGCCATGGGACACAACCCAAGTTCTTATTTACCCTTGGCGTGACTTTCGCCTGCAAGTCCAGAGGTGGTCAACGGCACCGAGTTATGCATCAGGAAAGGAGAAAATGCATGGCTGGCCTGGGAACTCGCTTCCCCTGCATCACCAGTCAGGTGTTCTACCTACTGAGCAACCAAGGTCGATATCCACGGCCCAAACCATTACAAGTAGATTACTAGTATTCCATATTGGTATTGTTGCTGATACAAAGCTATCATGGTAAGAGACTGTTCGAGTAATTGCATTGAATATGATGAGTTTGAGTTGCTTGAATTATAGTTATGATGTTATTACTTTCTTCGACAATATAATTCATGTGCATAAGCGTCGGAAGCAAATTGAAATTGGGGTGGGGTGGGGGGAGCTAAACCAAACAGAAAAAAAACGTTTGGTGGAGGCTAAGCCCCAATTTTCAATGCCTATATGTCTATATTTGCAAACAAGTGAGGGGGATTAGCCCCCTCCCCCCCCCCCCCGTTCCGACGACTATGATACATGTACATTCAGGCGTTAGGTTATTAAGACTTTAATACATTAGTGTGTGCTTATTATTTTTCCGTCTGAAACTTAAGGTTTCCCAAGGTTGCGCATACTTAAATATAAATTAAAATGGGACCCATATATTCAAAAAATATCTTTCGTTCGACCAATAGTTGAATATGGGGATGTGGCATGGGATAATTGAACTGAAGTGCAATCCAAATTTTTAGAAAACATACAGGTGGAAGATGCAAGAAAAAAATATAGGTGTGCATTAGGCGCAACATTTAGAATTTAATACATTAAAAAAATAATCAATATACTGAGCTGGATTGGCCACACGTAAATTACTTTTCATTTTTATTTATTCTTCTCATGAAATTTAAGTATGTAAAATGTTTGGCACGTATAAAATTCAAATGTTGGCCTTTTGTCATAGTTTGAAATACATGTATTATTGGTATGTGTGAACCTCTCACACCCACTTGTGTGTAATCAAGGCGATATTTAGAACATGAAATAAAACTAAAAGTACATGTCAAGTATTTAAAAAGAAATTGCACAACCATCTGTAGTTCCGAATTGTTTTAGACAACAGGTTTGCGGCTTCTTGACCACAACCCCCTTCTTCAAAAACATTAATTTTTGGGACTTTTTTGGTGTCTATTTTTTTTTTTTGGGGGGGGGGGTTGTTTCAGAGTAGTAACCTTTTTGTGAATGCTACTTGTAAAGACTTCAATTTAAAAATTCAAACCTTAACGAAATATTTCATTAATTTATTGTTCTAAATCTAAATTTTTAATTTTTTTTCTCTCTCTAGTGATTTAAATTTGTTGGAAGGGATATATTGATATCCTCTGGTTAGCCTTTTGACAATAAATATTTAGACATTTAAATTACTGGTTTATTATGAGAACTGCCTTCCATATCTCGATTTACTGGAGTAATATCCCTTGACATTCGCTGGCTCTTGGTAAGTTATTTTGCTTAAGGTCTATGTTTTAGCTAACAAAGACAAATTAAAATAAGCCTAACATTACACTATTAGGTAGTTAACTACCCTTAACAGTGTTATGCTTGGAATATCTTGGAAAGAGATGGAAGTTGGCTAATATCGAACATGTGTTGACCAGTGTACGTATTTAGCTTGGCCACACGTAAATTACTTTTCATTTTTATTTATTTTTCTCATGAAATTTAGGTTTGTAAAATGTTTGGCACGTAAAATTCAAATGTTGGCATTTTGTCATATTCTGAAATACATGTATTATAATTGGTATTTGTGAACCTCTCACACTCACTTGTGTGTAATCAAGGCGATATTTAGAACATGAAATAAAACTAAAAGTACATGTCAAGTATTTAAAAAGAAATAGCAAAACCACCCGCCGATCTCTTATTCTACTAAGATAGCTTGTTTTATTACAATATATCGTAATTTATCTATTGAATGAAACTGATTTTTCACACAGCTGTTACTTTGAATTTGACTGTGTGGAACCATAGGCACTCCCCAGTTTAATTATTATATATATTTTATATATTTAACAATTTTAAAGCTGGGGAGTGCCTATGTGTGGAACTTGCTACAATGTAACCGGGTGAGGAAAATGTAATAGACTGATAAAAGCAGAATATTTTTGATATGGAATTCATTTTGCACTAGTGAACATATAGTTAGATCAATCATTTTCCACTTGTGAAATAAATCTATATCCTATTACAAAACATTATATATCCTCAACGCAAAATATTAAGACCATAAATAAATTCCAAATCCAACTACAAACCATTGAATTTCTATGTAAGTGATGTCGTATTGTTGCTGATATTGACAAAATTGGTAAAAATTATAATAATGAACGAAAATCTATTTTAAAAAATATCTGAGACAGTAACAATGTAGAAATTTTAATATGAACCTCTATTGGTGATTTCTTTGAATAATGAGCGATATTGTACAAAACCAAAGGACGTAAATCTGTTTTGTGAGAAATTAAAAGTTGCTCGTTTCTTCTCAGATTTGTTCTTCAATATATATTGACCGGAATTACAAACTTGGTAATGAATACATGTACAGGTTTCTTTCATGTGCGATATGCCTGACGTCAAAATAGCCATATCAGCTTCCAGGACTGATAGGGATCCTACAGGACTGATATGGATTTATATCACACCCCATTTAAAATAGCATATGTGATTTTACACCTATTTTTCGTTCATATTTTTCGTAAAAGTGTATTTAACCAGGATTTAATATAATAAGCTAGTTGGTGATTATTTGTATTTGCTCAATTAGATGAGAGCTGTATTGTTATTACTACACTGTAAGTATTAATAAACAAAATAAAACATACCCTTTTCGATAACACACCCTGCAATGGTCCTAGGGCCTTGGGCTGATGCTGGATGTGTTATGAAAAAGGGTATGTACATGTATATTATTCTCTCTCTCTCTCTCTCTCTCTCTTTATCTCTCTCTCTATATATACATGTATATAAAATTACCGAACTTACCGGCTTTGTTAAGACTCGTACACACTATCACAGAATGGTCGATAAATAATTATTTATGATTATTCTTTCCAGAATTATGAGTGCCGGAGCACGGTTTCTTCTTTTCGTAAAGGCGGCAAGTGACGGAGAAAATGTTGGTGACTGTCCGTTTTCACAAAGAGTAATGATGTATGCGGGCCTCAAAGTACCAAATAACGAACTGGAGATAAAACCGGTAGACCTTAGCAATAAACCCGAGGATTTCCTATTACTTAATCCCGAAGGAAAGGTTCCAGTGCTGATTGACCGAAAGAGGGATAACAAAATTATCTCTGATTCTGCAGAAATAACCAGGTATATTCATGAACAATATCCAGACTTAGACTGTCAGCAAGATTACAGTGGTCCTGCTCTAGATGCTTGCTCGGGTGTCTTCCCTAAGCTTGCTGCTCTTATAAAAAACAAAGACCCCTCTCAAGTAGACACGCTGAGGCAAAACCTGATATCGGAGTTAAAGAAAGTGGAAAATTATTTGGGTGGCGCTGATCATAAAGGAAAGTTCCTGCTGAGCGACAGCCTATGTGAGATAGATTGTATGTTTCTCCCTAAATTACGTCACGTCATGGTTGCTGGAAAACAATATGGCGGTCTCGAAATTCCTGATGAATTCAAACATTTAAAAGAGTACATTTCAAATGCAGAACAAAGCGAAATTTTCATTAGAACAAATTGTCCTGAGAGTGAAATAATCCATGGTTGGAAAAAGCATACACAATAGACAAAGATAAAGAGAAATAAAAAAGCAATACGAAATTTCATAGGCACTCTTTTTTTCTTAATCAAGAAAAATACCCCCTTGCCTGGTAAATCACAAATTGCTTATACCAGCCATCTTTAACTTTTATTGGACTTCATAAATATTATAAGCTTGAAACTGCATGAAATATGAAGATAACGAACAGTATTCAATCTCGAAAATCCAATGAAACGATACAAATTTGGAGCAGAGCAAACACAGACCCCAAATTTAGAGGTGGGATCAGGTGCCATGGAGGAGTGAGCATCTCTTGCCGACCGGTCACACCCGCCGTGTGCTCCTTGTCATGATCGAGGGAAAAAAAACGGAAAAATCCATAGACAGTTCAGTGTATAAATAATGGCCTAACAATTAGTATGGAAAACGTCAGTCAGCATTTGACTCAATGATAGGTTGTATGTGCTGACAAGGTCATTGTATCGACAGTAAAACTTGCGAAAAGATGACTTCAAACGAGACGGTTGATATCCTTGTTTCACCAACTTGTTTGTCAATAGCTTGCCTCGTTTTAGAAAGTGTTCATACTGAGAGACAGAAACTCCATATGCAGGTGATAAGGGTATATTGCTACATACATGTACATGTAAGTAAGGGAAGTTTACGATTGAAAAGTTAAAGGCATCACGTTTATCATAAAGCTACCATTAACGTCTATTTCTAGTAAAATATCTAAATATGAAACAGATGTGTCAGAATCTGTGGTATCTTTTATTTCATATATGAATGAAAGTAACTATTGTTAATTGATAATACGTCGTCGATATATGTATCGAAATGTCGAGTTGAAGGTCACAGCAAGTGTTTTCTTCTCATGTAGAAGTTTTTGTATACATTCTGCTTCAAATGATGATAATTCCCTGTTTTTATGTTAACGTTCATTATCTGATCTGCTATTCGGTGCTTTAGTTTATTAACTGACGGAGGTTCTGGTGCTGGAAGGGGCTCTATTAATTTGTATTCTACTGTGAGAAGTTATTCCCCATTGCCATTCACCTTTGATAATAAATCACGGTATTTAATGTATTTGAAAGGTTAATAGAATAAGAGAATTATGCATTTTTATGCCCCGCCATGAATATGGCCGGGGCATATAGTGTTTGTCATGTCCGTCTTCCGTCCTTCCGTCCTTCTGTCCTTCCGTCCTTCCGTCTGTCCTTCCGTCACACTTTGCGTTTAGCTCTGTTCAAAGCTCAGTTTCAAAGAAACTATCCAAGATATTTTTATCAAACTTCATATGCTGATAGATATTGATGAGGGCTATGCAACTGCATCAACATTTTTTGACCTTGACCTTTCCTTTGACCTTGACCTCACTTTTCTTAAATTAGTGTTTAGCTCAGTTTTAAAGATACCATTCAAGATAGTGTAATCAAACTTCATATGTTGATACATACTGATGTAAGCTATTCAATTGCATCAACATTTTTTTTACCTTGACCTTTATTTTGACCTTGACCTCACTTTTCTTAAATTGATGTTTAGCTCTGTTTTAATGAAACCATTCAAGATATTTTTAACAAACTTCATATGCTGATACATACTGATGAGAGCTATTCAACTGCATCAATATTTTTTACCTTGACCTTTCCTTTGACCTTGACCTCACTTTTCTTAAATAAGTTTTTAGCTCAGTTTTAAAGATACCATTCAAGATAGTGTTATCAAACTTCATATGCTGATACATACTGATGAGAGCTATTCAACTGCATCAACATTTTTTGACCTTGACTTTTCCTTTGACCTTGACCTCACTTTTCTTAAATTAGTGTCAAACTTCATATGCTGATACATACTGATGAGAGCTATTCAACTGCATCAATATTTTTTGACCTTGACCTTTCCTTTGACCTTGACCTCACTTTTCTTAAATAAGTGTTTAGCTCAGTTTTAAAGAAACCATTCATAATATTTTCATCAAACTTCATATGCTAATACATACTGATGTAACCTTTTCAACTGCATCAACATTTTTGACCTTGACCTTTCCTTTGACCTTGACCTCACTTTTCTTAAATTAGTGTCAAACTTCATATGCTGATACATGCTGATGAGAGCTATTCAAATGCATCAATATTTTTTGACCTTGACCTTTCCTTTGACCTTGACCTCACTTTTCTTAAATTAGTGTTTAGCTCAGTTTTAAAGAAACCATTCATAATATTTTCATCAAACTTCATATGCTAATACATACTGATGTAACCTTTTCAACTACATCAACATTTTTTGATCTTGACCTTTCCTTTGATCTTGACCTCACTTTTCTTAAATTAGTTTCTGAATCAAACGTCATATGCTGATACATACTGATGTAAGCTATTCAACTGCAGCAATATTTTTTGACCTTGACCTTTCCTTTGACCTTGACCTCACTTTTCTCAATTTGTGTTAAAATGTTGCATTACTAATATACCCTTGGCGGGGCATTCATGTCCTATGGACATATTTCTAGTTTTTTATTGTATTATATTACTAGTACACAAAAAGTACTTACATAGTTTTAATGATCAGTTAGACTTGTAAATAATAGATAAATAAAAATGAGACAAAAATAACATTTTATTAAATGTTCTCACAGACAAAAACAGGCCAATCAGAGAAGTAATGATATGGGGTTAATAAAATTCAATTCAAATTCAATAAAATTCAAGCATTATTGTTTTGTTAATCGTCTGCATGGTGATTGTGATAAACGGACTTACTGTATGAGTTCTTATTACTTTTTACTGAATACAAGACTATAATCATTTCGTTGATCCTGATTATCCTATTTCTCTTGCTCTTGGGCAACAAAGCTTCATCTATCAGTTTATTTTATACGTTTATGGAACCTTTTAAATTGTTGGAATTATACATGTACTCAGGTGACTGTTAAGGCCCTTGGGCCTTTTTTTTTTACCTTGACACTTATTAAAAATGTTTAACTTGAGAAAACTTTCACATCAAGATTTTAAACTTGGAACTAAGAATAAGAAGATTAAGCTTGGATGCACTCGCCATATATATTTTTCACCATGAGCCATTTCTTTATCTCATTGTAAAAAAAAAAACAAATACAGACCATGACTTGAGAATACTGAATCTGAATTTAAGAATTTTGAAAGTGAGAATTTGAAATTTCAATGTTTAACAACGAAATTAAGATGTGATGCACCGTACCAAAGCTTTTGAATTGTTAGGTGACTTTTGATTATTAGTAGGTAATAATTATTTTGAGCAGTATGCAAGATTGCTGGCACCAATAAAAAATTTAAGTTGATCTCTCATATTGCCCACATCATATACAATGTTGGTCCATTATAAGAAAATCAAACTTTGAAGAGGAGACTTTTTTTAATTTAAAAAAAAATGAGTTATTATCACAGAATTCTAGATATGTTGTGACCGTCCTCGAAAAATTTGAAATGGCTGCGATATCTATCTTTTGATTTATTAACTAGGGAATATTTTCATGATTTTTCGTGAAAAATAATGAAGTCAGGTAATGTCTATACAATTACTGAGATAACACCTACTCTCTGGAAAGTAGGGAGTTCACATCCTATATTATTTGATACACGTAATTTAGAAATTGGCTTAATATGGTATAAACGTGGCAGAAAATTCCATATAGGGCGAGAGCGAAGAATAAATTACTACCCACATAATTTTGTACACTGTCAAAGCGAAACCATTTTAACCTGTGTAACGAATATATCTCAACGAGAAACGTTACATGTTAATTTTCTGTCGATTCATTATAATTAACGTAATTCTAATAAATTTCAACGTCAGAAAATAAAATTCTGACATATCTAAAGCAACAGCTGACTGTGCACTATAATACCCGAGGTAGCGGAGATGGGGATGGGGGAGGGGGTCAAGGGGACCCGCACCTCTCGTAAGAGTTATTAAATTTAATATAGAAAATTGTCTTTAAAAAATCTACAACCAATACAAAACACGGATCCCTGGACGTTCCATAGATGGGATCAGGTGCCTAGGAGGACTAAGCATCCCCGTCGACCGGTCACATCACCGTTGACCGTATGTATTGATCGGGTAAACAGAGTAATTCGAAGTCTTATTCAGTATAGAAGCAAAGGTCTAACAATTGGTATGAAATGTCAGTAAATATACGACCCAGTGATAGGTTATATTGCTAATAAGGTCATGTATAACGATAATAGAATTCATAGAATGCTACCTTTCAATGGGTTGTTGAAATCCCTGCAACATCAACTTATTTGTTAGTAGCTTGCCTTGGTCGCACTCAGAGCATGCTCTTGACTTGGGAGACATAAAACACCGTAACTATGCAAGTGATAATGGAATATTACTACATAAATAAGGAATATTGGCGATGTACATAGTGTTTTTATTTCGAGTTCACTGGGATAGATCGAACTGACATATGAATGGAAGTAACTATAATTGTAAATTGATAAAACACCGTCGATATATTTGAATGTCGAGTTGAAGGCCACATTCATGTACGAAAACCTTTTCTGTCGTAAACAGTACTAACTGATTGCAAAAGTTTAATCAGTGTACTAATGATTTGGTTCCTCAGGCCCTTTTTATTATTTTTCAATTAATTTTAGCAGAGAAAAATATAATATGTTAATATATAGGTTCTTGTTTTTTTTAGCTTAATCATCTCTTATTTTTAATGACATCTATATGAAAATAGAATTTGTTTTCCTTTTTAATAATTTCTTTTCAATTCGAAATTTATATGAAACTATTATGCACAATTAGGGACCTATAGACTATAGTACATGTATATAGGTCCCTGGTACAGATCATGTGTAGAGCAAACATGGACCAGTGAATATAGCAAGGTCAGAAAATGATGATGTAGTCGAAAAGCTCTCTATCAGTATATTATTCACGTACATCAGAGGAGCACATACCCTGTCGACCTCTCAAACACACTGTGTCCCTTTTGTCAATGATCGGATAAACCGAGAAATGAAATGGTGAGAATTCCGCTGCTAGTGAACTGTCAAACGATCTTTGTTCATTTACAATATAACTACACCGAAAATTATAATTATATATCAAAACAAAAGATGGTTGGAATTAGATTGTATATTGTATATACTACAGCCTTAGCATATTCCATCGGGATCGGTCTTCTAAAAATCATCCACGCAGTAATGGCGACCAACTTTCACTTTAGTCGGGAAACACCCCCAGAATCAATTTTTACTGATTTCCAGACGCTTAATAAGTTTCAAAACAAGGTAATTACAGATGTTACTCTTTTCTATATGATCATTTTATTAAACATCATTTTACGTTATGTTTGTTGGTTTCTACCATTGGTCAAGCTAAGACGTTTGACTATGAATGGCCTTGGGTAAACAAGATTTATATAGTCCGAAATATCTGACGTTTTCCAGGCTTCTTTGAAAACGATTTTGATATTGTCGTGTCAGGAAAACGACGTCGAATATCAATGTTGCCAAAAAAGCCTGGAAAATGTCAGATATTTCAGAGTAAACAAGGTTTAGAGGTTTTTACTGGCACGCTAAGTGTCAAAATCGTATAAAAGCCTACAAAACGTTAGATATATTTCGGACTAGAGTAAACTAGTGACGTTTAAGTATTATATGTCACTGGGTAAACGTATCGTGATTAATCCCTGTGATAAAATATATCAAAGAATTATTTTTGTTCCAAGTGGAATAAACAGAATCATAACTACATGTAGACCATATAAAATTCTGCAGTAGTTTACTGTGAAAGGCACAGGAAAAGCCTCACTAATATGTTGACGGTGCGATCATTAGGGTGAGTGCAGATGCACCTTTTCAGTGTACTATTTACTATTTAGACCCGTCTCTTCAAACCGCACGAGACATTTGGTGCATCTAGACACTCTGACGTCACATGATGTTGTATATAAGTTGCATTACCAAACCGAAGTCTGAACAGTGCTGATTTTAATGAAGAAAGTTTTTTTTTTTACTATTTATCTGCAACATATTCATTAAATCAAAGCGAGTTTATTTTTTGTTGATTTTTTATTGTTATTTTCGCAAGAATGCATTGTGGGTCCAGAAATTTCTGCAGAAAAAAATCATTTGGATCAATGTGCAAGTCTGAATTTTTTCTTGGCCCATAAGTTGTCATTAGGGCTCACTGCCCTCACTATTAACCGTAGTTAGAATATGTTCCATATGTAAAGTAGCCAAATGGAGTGGATCCACCTTGACAATTGCACAGATATTTGCAGTTTCTCTTAGTAAAAAATGAACACTGCCATTATACTCATATGGAAGGCATGGGGGGGGGGGGGGTATCATTTTGTAAGCTCAGTGTTCACAGTACCTCTAGTTTATTAATGATATTCTTTAAGATCTGATGATTAGGATTGCTATATATAGGTATGCTGAATTATGATAATTTTCTTTCAATTGTAGCAATTCAAACAGCTACTGGAATATGGTTTTGAATTCCTTGCTGATCCAGGGAAGGTAATCATGCTGAATTATTAACATTTAATATATAAGATGAGGTAATGGATATGAAATATAAATTGAAAAATAAATTTCTTTAAAGTATAAACAGTTCAGCCTCATTAATTCGGATGCTAATGTTTCCAAATTAAATTGTCTGGAATACATCTGGATTACTAAAAACCTATTTTTCCTAATTGCTAGGTATGGACATACATTTGGTTTGGAACCAATTTTTTTTATCTGGAAAGAGAAGGGTCCTGATTATTGGGTTCCTGATTATCAAGGCTTGACTGTATTCCTTTCATGCAAAATATGAAATTCCAAGTTTTAATTACAGTGTTGAAATATCATTTCAGTCATCCCGATTAATGGAACAGCTGGAGGTGTTTGCTGAAGAAAATGGAGTGAATGTTACAGGCCTAAAAAATATATTTAAAAGTTTACTCTCATTCAGCAACAGTATGTAGAAAATATCAGTTTATAATTGAGATCTCTTTGATAAATAACTCTGATTACATATTAATATAACGTTGATTAAATGCTTTAAAAGATATATCACTATATTCTTAGAGTTATGTACATGTTTCTACAATGTATGGCAAAACATTTTATTAAGCAACTACTTGTAAAAAGAAGGAAAGTACAAGGTTTCCACTTTAAATATGTATCCAAGTACAAATACCCATGTTTAGATTTTTTTCTACTATAGAAGTTTATGGCAGAATTTTAAGTTGTATCAGAAGCAAAACATAATTAAAAATGCATATAAGACTATTACTGGGTAGAAGTAAGTGGAACAGTATACTAAAAATACTCCACTGGCATAGTGAATAGTAGATAAATGGTTTCTGACATAATGAGTGTAAGACAGAGAGAAGTTAACTGCTAGTAAATGAAAAAAAAAAAAAAAAAAACATGAAGGGGCTTTTAGATGTTATATCACAGGGAATCAATGAGTTATGGTTTGACTTAAATTAAAATGAAGATTAGTCTGCTTAATTACTTCAGACAATACTACATGAACACCATTTAAATACAATGTTCCTGAAAAATTATTTCAAACATTTTTATTTGTTACCAGGTGCATTGAAAAAGAGTCTGTCTGCATCACAACTAAAAGAAGATTTAACAAATCTAGGTAAGTGTTTGTCCCCCTGAATTTTTCATCATTTATCATTCTTACCATTCTTCATAGGAATAGTTTATAGCTAGGAGAATCATATTTCCTATTTTTAGGTGGATCTGTTGGGTAATTTGCTGACTACCTAGCCTTATTAAACCTTAACAACTTAGTAAACTGTGTGCCTTTAAATTTTCTTTCAAAAAGTGCATGTGAGCACAAGGAGGAAATAATTTACTTCTTTTTATGGTGCCCTTGTCTCTGAAACGAATGAATCCTTTTCAAACTATCAGATAATTAAAAAAAATATCATTATTTAAATGTCACAAGATGAAAATTTAGAAAAATTAAAGTTATATAAAAAATTAATGATAAACAACTTACTACCAGTTTGAAATTTCTGATTACCAAAGTTAAACTTTAGTCTATCATTTGCTGCCATTTGTCGTTATTTCTTTATGTTGATTTGATAGGTTTAGCAGAGGACAAGTCTGAATACTTTTCACAACAAGTAAGATTTAACTAATTTGTTTTTAATCAATTTATTGGATTTTTATCCAAATTATTTATCAACTAAGTGTGAGTTATGAAAGAAAATATATCATTAAATAGCAAATCATAATTTCTATTTAATAAAACAATCTAACTTTCACTGATTTTTACCTTTTGTTTACTCATTTATATAAATTTTTAACATTATATGATATATAGCTCACCTGAGCCAGAACTATTGTCTGGAGGCTGTCTGTCTGGGTGGGTGTAGTACTTGTGTCATTTTCTATGTGTAAACTTTTCACATATACTAAAATTCTCCAGAAACAATGGACCATTTTTTTTTCATATGAAGGACCACCTCTAGTTGCATCTAATAAAAATCTTCTTCTCAAGAACCACTGTGCTAGAGAAGACAAAACTTATGTGAAGTGAAAGCTTTCTTAATTTATATACATTCAGATTTGTTCAAATCATGGCATTAGGGTCAGGCAACAGCATAGGATCTACTCATACTCAAAAAAAATAAATCCTTAAAAGAAATCTTTTCCAGAGTAAACAATAGGGCTGGGACAATACAACATTTTCTATATCGTTACGTATCACCATATTTGAGCCACAATAGGATATGTATCAAATATGTTGAATTAGTTATAAATTGTTTCTTTTGTATTGAAATGAACAAAACAATTACTTACAAATAAGAATAATTTATATTCTGTTATATATCTATAATTGTTAAACAAAATTATTTTACACAAGTGGTGTTTATTATAATGTATTTCATATTTATATTTTGCATATTTATTTTATATATTTAACCAAAATGTGAAGTAAACTGAAAAAAACATAAGTCAGAATTTTTTTCGATATTTCTTCATACGTATCGACATGCGTATCATCCTCACATTGAATCAATATTATTGATATCTCGATATATTGTCCTAGCCCAAGTAAACAAGGCTATTGAAGCATATTCATGTTACATAGCTTCAAGTTTAGTTGAGACATGAGCACATGGGATTTGAATTGCATCACAAATGAGGTCAAATTTTTTTCAAAAAAATACAGAGAGAAAAAAATCTTATAAACATGATAAAAATCCTCTTCTGAAGGCTAGGGCTGGGACGATACAATTTTTTCTATATTGATACATATTAAGATATTTGAGGCACTTTAAGATATGTATCACGATATGTATCACGATATGTTGAATTAGTTATAAATTTTTTGGTATCGAAATGAACAAAAGATTGCCTCATAAATAAGAATAATTCATTGAAAGAAGTTGTATATATATTGTAAAACAAAATTATTTTACACAAGTGGTGTTTCTTTTAATGTATTTTATATTTATATTTGGCATATTTATTTTATATATTTAACCAAAATGTTAAGTAAACAAAGAAAAACATAGTCGGAATTTTTTGCGATATTTCGATATTTCTTCTTACGTATTGATATGCCTATTGTCTTCACAAAGAATCGATATTATTGATATCTCGATATATCGTCCCAGCCCTTCTGAAGGCCAAAGTGACTCAGGTGAGCAATGTGACCAAGTAGCTTCTTGTTTCAGTAGTTTTTGCCGTTTTGTCCTCTAATGAATATGAGCATTATGGGCATGTAAAAAAAGGGGGTTGTTAGAGTGCATGATTTTAAAGATAATTGAGCTTAGCGTCTTCATTTGATTCTATTTATTTCAAATTTTTTGTGGACACTTTTTTTAGGGGGGAGGGGGGGGCTTGAAGGAGGGGGTGATTTTGCAGTTCTGTATATTTTTTTTAGATTATGTACTTGTGAATGTTGTAGCAATGCTGCCTGTTTTGTAGTGGACCAGTAATTTGGCTGCTCTGTCCAAGAGTGCCCTAGGACAAACTCTGATGGTCAATCAGCTGGTGGACATGGAATGGAAATTTGGAGGTCAGTAAATCCTAATTTAAATGAAATAAATTACAGTGTACTTGGATAGATTTCAACATCACCAGCTGGGGATTGCAATATATAGCCTACTTTTCAAATACACTGCAGTAGAGTAGAACTTACCTGCAATCGTCAAGCTGGTTTAGGTTTCATTTAAAAGTACAGCTGTTAAAAGAAGCATGCTATGATCATTAACATGATCTCTAACTATTGTTGACATTGTGCACAAAATATTTCTAGCATGAGCTGTGTAAGGTGCAGTCTTTAAGCTAGAAGTGGAACTGTTATAAAAAGCCAGCTGTGCTCACTTAAGTGTTCCTAGTCTGCTGTCATTGTATGCAAATTACATGTATTTATATCTTGAGCCATACACTAAAACCTTGAAGTACTACCCAGATATTGATGTTGTGAAGATTGTCCAGTTTGGCAATGTATATGGCCTAATTCCATGTTTACAACATAATCTACTTGAAAACTGGACACTTTCTAGCTACTGGTAGTAGTAATTCTTGAAATCAAAAATTTTTTCCTGTTAAATTTGTAATGAAGATGAATCGTTGTGCATACTTAAAAATGCTAAAGAGTTATAGCAAAAAATATTAGTAATAAAATTTTTGAATAATTTCCCAGGTGTCTTTATATGACATTGTAAATTTTTGGACATATTCAGTGAAAGAAATGCATAAGTTATTTTGTGACAACTATGAATTCTCTCGCCTAGCAAAAAATATTAGGAACACAATCTTTGAACTTCTTCCTGGATAGAAATGCAGACATTATTTTGTGACAACCGTGAATTATCTCTACAGTCTAGCTGTAAAATACATTTTAATATCAATATTACATACCCTTAAACACCCTTAAAAATTTCAGTGACATAAAATGCATATGCATTTAAAACTTAGTGGAATGCATATGATTACTCCTTCATTATAACAGCTAGAGTAAGTTCATTTAAAGAATAAGGCAATGCTTTATATTGAAGTGTTAATTTCAAATACTTGTTGTCCATAGAAGCATGACACCCAAACTTTGAAGTCCCTTGCAATTTTGTCTATACATATTTGACACCTAGTTTTACTTGAGTCAGGGCTTAGTGGGTCCTTTTTGGACAGTTTGGCCAAAACCATTTTTTGGGGGGAAATATACATAAAAGTATATGAAATTTGGAGGTGTATCTCATCTAAATGTAACAAAAGTAATGCATAAGATTAAGAAAAGTAACCAATTTTGTGAATTTAGATTGTCAAAGACTAACAAACACTAAAATCTAAACACATGTACATAGTTATGGAAAACGATTATGACTTTTAAGATAAATATTATTCGATTATGATATCCCATTCTTACTATCCATAAATGTTTTTGGTTAAATTGCTTTGCTTTCTACTTTCCTTTTATTCATGTTTCTTTTGATGCTGTATATAGCAGGTAATATGCATTCCTTCAAACACTCTAGTTTATTTCTATCAGTAGAACTTTTTGGCCATCTGAGTAAATGTCATCCTTAGGGTGGCTCTAAACACGTCTGTACACTGAAAAGTTTCAATTCCATGGTACGTAGAACTGCCCTTAGATTGAAGATATGATAAAATCTACAATGAATAAAACACTGAAACTAACAACAACATAATGACTTGAATCCTTAAATTGTAATTGCAACTTCCCTTATTTATGTAGCAATATATCATTACATGTATCACCTGCATATGGAGCTTATGCCTGCCAGTTGATTTGATGTATAAGAGCATGCATATGTTCTCAGTATGAACAGTTTCTAAAATGAAGCAAGCTTTTGGCAAATAAATAAGTTTATGAAACAAGAATATCAAATGTCTCATTTAAAGTCAAAGTGTTGCGAATTCTATGGTCAGTATCAAGTCATTGTTAGCAAATACAATCTATCTTTAAGTCAAATACTGACTGACTTTTTCACACAAATTGTTAAGCCATTATTTTTACACTGAATTGTCTACAGATACTTTTGTTTACCCGATCATGACAAGGAGCACACAATTGGTGTGACCAGTAAACAGGGAATGCTTACTCTTCCATGGCACCTGATCCCACCTCTAATCTTTTTAGAGGTCCATGTCTGGTCTACTCCCATTTTGTATTGTTTCAGTGGACTTTTGAGCTTGATTACTGTTTGTTAATTTCATCATATTTTATTCCAAACCTCTTGACATACACAAGTATTCTTAATTAGACCAAAATAGTGTAGTTGAATGCATTATTTGCATGTACTGGTATTTTATACCACTGTAAAAATTAAACAACAATGATTCTTTTTATGAATACTTCATTGTCTTTGATCATTTTTCCTGGGGAAGCATGGCTGGTCAGTAACCCTGTGTTGAAAATGATTAACTTAAACTCATCATGTACACACATCTTTATATGGTGTTATATTCTCAAAGTACAGTCATATTTGTACGTAAGAGAATTATTTCTTTAATATTTGTTAATTAGTGATCTTTATCTTTTGCAGTGACAGCTGCTAGCAGTGAAGTTGACAAAGTAGGAAACACATTCTTACAGGTAAATAATAAACAAATCAGAATATCTGTGTGCCAGTGCTATGCAGCATTTGTGCTATCTATCTCATTCATCGAAGTAGCTGGTAGCCTAGAATTCCTCGTGTTCATCAGAGACTTGAAGAACACTGGTCATGCATTCTGGTAGATCCTGATGATGATGATGATGATGAGCATGATAAAGAGTCCTTAGTGAATTTGCCAGAGTCCATTTTAGCAAACTTCTTAGCCTGAATTTGTCAGGTCTATTGCTAAAACTATGTCAAATTCATTATATCATCTGGTGGTGATGGTCCCGATGTACCAATGCTGCAACAAAACATATTCCATTAATTAAATTTATTTTCCATTAATGCATGGGATTAACTTTTTTTTTTTTTACAATTTATGCATATATACAATGAAAGCAAAAAACCTATCCCCATGGATAAATTGTACTGTGCATATATATATATATATATAGTCCTTAAACACATTTGTACTGAAAAGATTTAGTACAAGTTTCTGTACAATTACAATATCAAACTTATTACTTTTTGGAGTTGATTTTGGGTTGAAATTTAGCCACAGATGGTCCTAGTTGGAAATATACTAAATTTTTCCCAAAATACAATATTTTTTTCAACTTAAGGAAAATGAATATTGAGAGATAGTCAGATTTAAAATACAGTCAAACCTCATTAACTTGAACTAAATGGGTTCGAGAAAAAAACTTATAGACATCCGAGGATTCAAGATACTTTTAAAAAGAATAAGTGGTTGGGATTTCCAAATCATTTTGACTTATCCATGTATTTGAGATATTGGTGTTTGAGATATTGAAGTTCAACTGTATTTAGGAACTTAAATGTGCATACACGATTATAATAAACATTTTTAGTTCAGTGTGTATTTTCACTAAAATATTGATTAAAGACAACTTTTTGAGAGTTATCTCCAGTAGAGTGATTGTATAAACATACATGTAGCTTGAATTACCATGATTACCTACGTACAGTGAAGTGACCATACCTCATGACATGGAACATATCAAAAATCAACATGCTTAATATTAAAAACCTAGTGTCAACTTTTTATTGACCTAGAATTATAAGACTAAGAGTATTTTCCTTGGAGAATACTCTTATGTAGCTTAATATAGTGATTGGACAAGTGCTGTTAAGAAGTAAACGTTTACATGCTTAAAAAATACGGACAATAATCGTGGATACATAAATCTGTCATTGGCAACTTCAGTGTACGTAGGTAATTCAAGCTACGTAGCTTTATATGATGTCAACAAAAAATTTGAACCTGATTGCACACATCTCGGTATTTACACTTGGAAAAGCAAAATACTGTACGTTATATTTTATTATCCCCTTGTTCAATTTTTAGGTCACCTGAGTTGCTCAGGTGACCTATTGCTATCCGTTTTTGTCTGTCGTCGTCTGTTATCCGTCGTGCGTTGACTTTTGAACATTTTCAACTTCTTCTCTAGAACCGCTTAACCAATTCAACCAATTTTGGCATATAGCATCTATAGATGAAGGGGAACAAAAATTGTGAATTTCATGGTCCCTGCCCCCACCCCCTACCCCACCCCCCGGGGGCCTGAGGGGTAGAGCTAAAACCACCAAAATTGGTGCAATCAGGCAATCTCTATTGATTATATAGTGAAAATGCAGATGACCGTAAAGGCCCTTGGGCCTCTTGTATTTCTTTGATTGGAATATGAGAAGATCACACAATAGATGAATAAATTAAAAATTATAAATCAAAGCAATATTCAATCCCTGTGCAAATTACATCACTTCCATTTCGAAACAAACTTACCCACACAAACACATAGAGCATTACTATATCCCCCCTGCAGCTCCATTGCAAGGGGATAATAATTTCCTGACACAATTTAGAAATAATGTGCATGTTCTGGAAATCAATAAAAAACAACATACTGGAATAAGTAAGAAACCTTTATATTTTTGCTCAGTTTATTATATGTATGCCCTGTCATGAATATGACTGGGGCATATAATGTTTGTCATGTCTGTCTTCCATCCTTCTGTCCCTTCATCTTTTTATCTTTTTGTCTGTCCTTCCATCACACGTTGCATTAAGCTAAGTTTCAAAAAAAAAATTATTCAAGATATTTTTATCAAACTTCATATGCTGATACATATTGATGAAAGCTATTGAAGTGCGTCATCATTTTTTGATCTTGACCTTTCCTTTAATCTTAACCTCAATTAAATGCATCACTAAATGATGTTTAAATGCATCACTTTTCCAAAATTTGTGTTTAGCTCAACTTCAAATAAACTTTTAAGATATTTTTATCAAAGCTTATATGCTGAAACATAAGGATAAGAACTATTCAACTTCATCAACATTTTTTGACCTTGACGTTTCTTTTTACCTAGACTTCACTTTTCTTTAATTTATGTTAAGCTAATTTTTATAACTGTATCATTATTTTTCGACCTTGACTTTTCCGTTGACCCTGACCTTACTTTCTTAAATCAGTGATTTTCTGAATTTCAAAGAAACCTAAGATATTTTTATCAATTGAAACCTAATATGCTTATACATATTGATCAGAGCTGTTTAAATGCATCAACATTTTATTGACCTTGGCCTTTTTTTAACCTTGATCTCACTTATCTTAACATGGTATTAAACTATGTTTCAAAGAAACTATTCGAGATATTTTAATCAAAGATATGCTGATACATGTTGGTGAGAGCTTTTCAACTGCATCAACTTTTTCGACCTTGACCCTTCCTTTGATTTTGATTTCAAATTAATGTGCTGAGAAATAATTTCAAAGAAAGAGTTAAAGATATTTTTATTAGAATTTAAATACTTTAACATATTGATAAGAGCTACATGTATCCAATGGCATCAACATTTTTGATCTTGTCTTTTTGTTTGACCTTGACTTCAAAGGATGAAGTCCCGTAACTATGGTCATAGGCCCCCTTTTCTACGATGAATTATAATAAATTACATTCATTCTGATAATTTTCAAACAAAAGTGAAGGAAAATGACACCTGCTGAATAGGCCTATAGGTCCTATAATTTAGAGGAATAACGCATTATCGAAATATATGGAGGTAACGAACAGTATTCAAGCTCAATAGTCCTTTAAACAATACAAATTTTGGAGCAGAGCAAACACAGACCTCTAAAACATCAGAGGTGGGATCAGGTGCCATGGAGAAGTGAGCATCCCCTACCGACCGGTCACGCCCACCCTGTGCTGTTTGTCATGATAGGGAAATAACGGGAAAATCCGTCAACAGTGTGTAACTAATAGCCTATTAATAAGTATAAAAAACGTCAGTCAGCATTTGACTAAATGATAAATTGTATTTTCTGACAAAGTCATTGTATCGACCAAAGAACTTATGAAATGATGACTTTAAACGAGACTGCTGATATTCTTGTTTCATCAATTTCTTTGTCAATAACTTACCTCGTTTCAGAAATTGTTCATACGTAGAGCTTGCTCTTGTGTACAGTATAAACATATACGTAGAGCATGCTCTTGTGTACAGTATAAATATATAAAGTTTGATAAAAATATCATGAATACTTTCACTGAAACAAAGCTAAACACAAAGGATTATGTGCCATACGGCTCCACAGTAAATTGACAAAAATATAAATATCTGAATTTAATTTCAACATGTTTTTAATCATTGATTTGTGTACTCTAATGGAATACCACTTTTATAGAAAATAGAAACACCATTTGGAAGTTATATATTTTTATTTTGGGTAGGGGTTACCATGTTTACATCAAATTCCCATTGAAAGAAACTTACCAAGATATTTTTATCAATTTCAAATACTGATACATATTGAGGAGAGCTATTTAATTTCCTCATCATTTTTTACCTAACCATTTCTTTGACCTCGACCTCACTTTTCTCAAATTTGTTTTTAGCTTAAAGAAACTATTTCAGATATTTTTTGAGTAAGCTTATGCATCAATACGTTATTTGGTGAGAATTGATCAACCGTGTCCATTTTTTTCACCTAACCTTCCAATATGAGCTTTGATTTGACTAATTATTGTGTATTAAACTCGGTTTTATAGAAACTATTCAAGGTACTTTCATCAAACTCCATACACTAATACGAATTTTTATAATACGGGACTAATGGGCCATGGGTGGGGCATTCATATCCTATGGACATATTTCTAATTTTATATAAAACTGTGGTATCCTTAATTCTAACCAATGATTAGTGTACAATGAACATGTGTTAATTGAGTACTTGACGTCATATTTTTATCTTGTTACAATAGAGTTATACCTATTGGGTACATGTTTATTTTTTCTGGCAAATCCAAAAAAAAGCTATGATATCAAGCGCAAGTTATGACGTTGACTTCCAGAGATTTGCCACAAGAAACTGAAACTCATTTGGATTCCTGCCACTTCCTTCTGATCAAGGTTGGGGGGGGGGGGGGGGTAATATTCTAATAAAATGGAATATCCGTGCATCAGTTTGATACCTCTTGCTACAATATAAAGGGTTTCTGTAGATCATAGTTTATTAAGACAAATAAACATGACAGTTATGGAATTTTAACTGACCTTTACATCTATATGCATGTATAGTTTGACATTTCTTTAAGCAGTCAGTTAGACCAAGCTCACTTCATCAGTCTTTTAGCTGAGAAAATCATGAGTGAAATCACGTAAAATTCTTATGTAATGCCTTTTCATACATTAGAAGTTAAATTTTGTCTAGCAGAGTCAACTAAATATATCTACAATACTGTAGATCTATTTTTATCTGTATTGCACTTTTCTCTTTAGTACATGTGTGTTTCTCCTACAGTTATATAATTTCATTCTTCTAATTGAAAGCAATTTTTGCATATTATATGCCAGGAGACTCCCCAGGGCTCAAGAGGGTGTGATCCATTGTGAAAGCTTGACAGTGAAACTTATCCCTCTCTAATTTATTGCTATTTCATTTATGGAAAGTAGTAGAGTAGAAGAAGTGCAAAGAAATTTGAGATACTGCAAGTATCAGGTATTTCTATTGATCAACCTTTTATGGACTTAAATGCCTATATATACAGTAGTATACATCCTATCAATTATAATTTCAATTCTGCCCCTAGCTTAAATTTTCTGGTTGATGATCAGGTCGACTTTTGAGGATCCTAAGACCTTAGTTACTTTTGGGATCAATGTTGATATCTGACACGATTTACCATACTTTTATGGGTGATATTGTTTATGAACAGGAGGTGTGTCATAACCTTGACCCGAGGTCATTCTGGCAAGTTCAAGGTCACTGGCAGAAAAAGTATAAAATTCTTGTCCGGGCGATAACCTTATAATAAAGAATCGTTGGAAGCTCATTCTTGGTACAAAAATTGTTTATGACCTGAGGGTGTGTCATGGCCATGCTTTACCAAAAGTCTTTCTGCCAAGTACAAGTTCACTGGCAGAAAAAGAATAAAACTCTTTTGCAGACTTTAACTTTTTAATGGAAAGTTGTTGGAAGCTCATAGTTGGTGTAAAATTGTTGATGACCTGAGGGTTTGTTGTAGCCTTGATCCAAGCTCACTGAGGCAAATTCAAGGTCACTGGTATAAAAAGTGTAAAATTTATGGTAGGTCTAGAATTTTCTAAAGGAGAAACACTAGTTGTCCATTAAAAGATTATGACCAGATGATATGTCATTTTTTAACCAAGGTATTTTTGGTAAGTTAAAAGTCTTATTTACAATAATTGAATGGACACTTACAAAAATGCGGGGGGGGGGGTATCATTTCGTAGGGATTCGTGATTTTATCGGTATACCGGTATATCGCAATTTTACATTGCGTGATACGTATCGTGATACGGAGACTAGAATGCCGATATTTGGTACTTAACTATAAATTCCGAAAATTATTTATTTGTGCAAACTATTGAATGGCAATTACAGGAAATATAAAAAATGTTGAAAACAGTTAAACAACGGCATCCAAACGTGCTTTGTATTTAAAAATAAATAAAAAAAAGTTATGCTTTTAAAGCATATTTTAAAGAAATATTACGGAAATTCATTTGAAGTCGTAGTAAAAATTGTGTATAAAAATATCACGATTTATCGTGATATTTGGGGGGGGGGTCGTGATATATCACGATACGAAATTTTTGCCGATACCCATTCCTATCATTTCGTGATCTCGCTCACAGTACCTCTAGTTCTACTTCACCAAGTACACCTGTAATGTAAATAGTAAAAATATACCTGGTATTGGAATCATAAAAGGGCTGTGCTATTAGATTTTAATCAACCACAGAAACGCACTTTAGGTATGTATACGTTCTATAAAGTACTTTGACCTCTCAGTGTCTGGCAAGAGTCAACAACTGATTAGGTATTGATTCCAATTCTACAGGTGTAATATGTAAACAAATACATTACGTCACTTTTATTTATTTCACCCCAAAACTATTGAAAATTTGATAAAAGATGTTATTGTTTTATGCCTTGTTTTATTGTTTCATTTTAATTGACAGGACTTAATCTGTCTGTTGACGTTTAGAGTCTGATGTCACTTTTTTGAGACTCTGCTTTTCTTGCTTATTGCATCATACACACACACACACACCTGTATTAATTACACTATTGTAGTAGGTGGGTAATTACGTAAAAAGTTACTGAAGCATGTGTTTACACATGTGCAACACCTCGATGATTCTAACTGTAAGATTATGTGATTCAGTGTCGATATTTAGAGCTTAAGTGAGTAAATATTGTTTATCACTTCTCAAAGTAAAGGTTTTTGTGCATCATATTTCACAGTTTTTGAATGTAAGCTATTGTTGAAATGATTTTAAGCATATCTATGTGAAAAGTGATATAAAACCTTGGAGAAATTGTAACAAATTTTAATTTCTTCCAAATCATTTACAATGTCCAGTGATTTTCATAGATACATGTATGTATATGGAAAATGCTTTAAAATCTTTATGTGAGCAGATGATCAATTTTACAGGCAAAATTTTAGTTTGGTATTGGAATCAAATTTGTTGAAATAATGGTATGTTGGGTAGTGATAGGTTACAAAGGGTTCTCAGATTTTACTTAGGAGACCTTTTTAAATGTATTTATTATCATTTAAATAATCTCAAGGATTACTAGGCTACAAAGCATTATTAACGGAGTAACAGACTATTCTGAATATTTCTCCTTTATATCTTATGAAAACCATATTGCCATCATTTGCAGCAGTAAGAAAAATTAACTTCTAGACTAGTTAATTACATGTAGATCCTGTTTTATTTAACCATATATAACCCTAATAAATAATACGGTAAATATATATGGTGCATTCCTTGAAATACTTTATAAAATTGCTTTACAAAATACTAAAAATATTTTTTTCAAAAAATGTTTTCTTAATTAATTGTTGAACTTGTATTCAAATAAAACAAGTTCTTGACTAAGTTACTACATATAATATGAAAGAAATATCAAATATTTAATGTTCAAAGATCAATTATTTCATGGCTCTTCCATTTATGTACAATATTTAACGCACATCCATCCTTTTATATGAAATAAATAAAACAAAGATATAAATATAAACAATTTTAATTTTAAAAGATCTTTCTTTGTTGTGTATTTGTAATATAACGGTTGCAGCCATTGTCAAAAAACATCTTTTAAACAATGAAACGCTCTCTTTGTTTGTTAAAGCAGGGATAACGAATGCAATATTGCAGAGAAAATAGATATAAAATATTGTGTTTTTAAAAATACATGTTTTTAAAAAAAAAATCATAAAAACAAACTAACTTATTCTTTAAAATTTTATTAATAACCTCAATAAGTGAAAATGAAATGTGAATGTGATGACATGTTTGTGTATTACATTGTAGATATACAAAACAGAAGATATGGCAATAATACTTATGCATTATTTTTAAATGACATTTCAGAAATGTAATTTGTTAAACTTTCGTATTTTAAAGTGCAAAAACATCACAATTTATGTTTTAGGCTTCGCGGGCCCAAATTATTAATACTGAACTTGACTAAATGATTTGAAAAGTTAAAACTGTTATGCTAACCCCCTTTTTCAGCTCCTGCAAATTGTTTTTATTTAAATATGTCGGATTTCCAACGTTTCGGCATGAGCATCACTGAAGTGACATCATTTGTCGAAATGCTCATCTGGTGCAACAATATTGGTACCGTATAAGATTTACATCGTCTTAAAACATAGGTAATTTAAAAGTTCAAGAATTTGCTGTCGTAGGCTGAGGTGGAGGCACTCATGTGGGACAGACTATAGCAAAATTTTTCTTTTCTTATATCCACAGGTGAAGCTAGTAATCAACACAGGAAATGGAATAAAGAATACTTACATGGGTATGTACTAGGATATCTCATTAATGCTGATACACGTAAGTTATCCCTCCCTTGTCTGTAGAAACCTGTATATTTTGTGGTTGTTTTCCACCTTTTAAGAGCTTAACTCTGTTTGTAGAAATCTGTGTATAATGTGTATGTTTTCTCCTTTACAGAGATCCGGTAATATACAATTTCCTAAAGCGAGATCTCTCGCTTTAGGAAATTGTATATTACCGGTTTGTGGATGCTTTCAACCTTTACAGATTTATACCTCTATGTGTATCTATGAAACTGTATCTGTATATTTTATGGATGATTTCTTCCAGGACAGATACAGAGAGCCTACCTCTGTCTTTAGAAATTTGAATATATTGTGGATTTTTCTTTTCTTTTTACAGAGCTTACATTGCCACAGTTCTACTCATTCTTACATGAAATGGAGAAAGCCAAGGCCAGTTTGGAGTACCTCAGCTGAGGGTGTGTATTATTTATAGAGGTACGATTCGTGTACAAGTAAATGTAAACGTGTAATTACAGATAACAGACAGTTTGTAGTACCTCAGCTGAGGGTGTATATTAAATTTAAACATGTAGTTACAGATAATAGTCTGAATGCAAGGGAAGAGAGAGAGAGAGGAGAGGGAGGGAGAGAAGAAATCAGGAAAAATCTTCAATCAGACATTCTGTGCAATGACTAGCTTTTCTGTAAAACGTAGTATTTGATTTGTATAAATATACCTAAATATAAAATTTTATAACAGTAGTTGTTTCTCTATTTTATTTGCCTTATATGGTTGTTAATTTCCTTTTTTCACAAGGTTGTTAAATGGTATCTTGTGTTATTTGTTAAGGCTCTTATCATACCTAAGCTTAATCATTTTTTTCTATTTCTCTACCATCTCCTAGAAAAGAATGAAAAGCTGCAAGTAGACTTTTTGAATTAATATGGAAGTCAAAGTCGGATAAGATTAAGCATTCCCTTGTAACACAAGATTATTTTTCTGGGTTCTGAAAATGGTCAACATAATTAATTAAATAATTGCATTAAAAATTTTTTGGATGAAAAGTTTAAGAAGCCATGGATGGATTTTTTGCAAGGAATGAAAAAGATACTAGTACTTTTGAAAAGCTTATTCATTTCAGAGATTTTTTTTATTTCTCAGAACATCTACTTCCTAAAAACAATGTTTTCTGACAAGATGTAATAAAGGCATGGTTTGAAGTCATAACATGTTTAAATGATTGTAAAATAAAAAAAAATATTTTCTAAATATTCCAGTGTTGTACAATTCTAAAATGTTGGTTGGAAATCAATGCTTTCATATCAAAAATAAATTAAAGTAATCAGAGATTTTTTAGATGAGAAGGGAAGTTTTATAACTTAATATTCCTTCCAACAAAGGTTTTGCCTTTCACATAAAGATATGCATGTTCAGATTAGGCAGTGTAATAGTGTTCCTACTGCAGTATTTTTAGCTCACCTTAACGAAGTTGGGGGAGCTTATGTAATGGCGTCGGCGTCGGCGTCCCAGGTTAAGGTTTTTGGAGCAGTTTTCTTTTCAAATACTTCTATGGCCTATATTAGTCAGAGATGCATGGAGGATGCTTCTAGTGTGTTTCATTGTACCAGTCAAGGTTTCAGATGCTGCAATTTCAGCTAAAGAATGACCAGGTTAATGTTTTTGGAGCAGGTTAAAGTTTTTGGAGCAGGTCTCATTTCCAAGTAACTATAAGCCCTATATTGACCAAACTTGCATGGATGATACATCTAAGGATGCACACTACTAAACTTGCTTCGGATGCTGGATCTGACCTACATTTTCCGGATGAGTGACCAGGTTAAGGTTTTTGGAGTAGATCTCATTTCCAAGTAACTATAAGCCCTATATTGACCAAACTGCATGGATGATACATCTAAGGATGCACACTACTTGACTTGCTTCGGATGCTGGATCTGACCTATATTTTCCGGATGAGTGACCAGGTTAAAGTTTTTGGAGCAGATCTCATTTCCAAGTAACTAAAAGCCCTATATTGACCAAACTTGCATGGATTATACATTTAAGGATGCACACTACTGGACTTGCTTCGGATGCTGGATCTGACCTATATTTTCCGGATGAGTGACCAGGTTAAAGTTTTTGGAGCAGATCTCATTTCCAAGTAACTAAAAGCCCTATATTGACCAAACTTGCATGGATGGTACATTTAAGGATGCACACTACTGGACTTGCTTCAGATGCTGAATCTGACCTATATTTTCCGGATGAGTGACCAGGTTAAAGTTTTTGGAGCAGATGTCATTTCCAAGTAACTATAAACCCTATATTGACCAAACTTGCATGGATGATACATATAAGGATGTACACTATTGGACTTGCTTCGGATGCTGGATCTGACCTACATTTTCCGGATGAGTAACCAGGTTAAAGTTTTTGGAGCAGATCTCATTTCCAAGTAACTATAAGCCCTATATTGACCAAACTTGCATGGATGATACATTTAAGGATGCACACTACTGGACTTACTTCGGATGCTGTATCTGACCTACATTTTCCGGATGAGTAACCAGGTTAAAGTTTTTGGAGCAGATGTCATTTCCAAGTAACTATAAGCCCTATATTGATTAAACTTGCATGGATGATACATCTAAGGATGCACACTACTGGACTTGCTTCGGATGCTGGATCTGACCTATATTTTCCGGATGAGTGACCAGGTTAAAGTTTTTGAAGCAGATGTCATATCCAAGTAACTATAAACCCTATATTGACCAAACTTGCATGGATGATACATCTTAGGATTCACACTACTGGACTTGCTTCAGATGCTGGATCTGACCTATATTTTCCGGATGAGTGACCAGATTAAAGTTTTTGGAGCAGATGTCATTTCCAAGTAACTATAAGGCCTATCTGAACCAAACTTGCATGGATGATGCATCAAGGGACGAACAATCTCAAAACTTGCTTCGGATGCTGGATTTGACTTACATTTTCTGAATGAGTGTCTAGTTTTAAGTTTTCAGATAAGTCCATTCCCAAGTAACTGCAAGCCCTATCAGACCAAAATTGCATAAATGTTGCATCTAGGGATGCACACTCCTAGATTATTAGTTTAGTGTGGGACTTTGCCTTACTTAAAGACAACATTCGTTGAGGTGAGCTCTGTAATCTCTGATTACCTATGTTTAAATCTGTGTCCATTGACGGATCTTTTGTCGGATTGTTTGAATACTCCTATGCTTTTTTACTTTGAATTGTTTGCTTTAGTCAGAGAAATGGACTAAGTCATTGTACTTCATTTTGAACACAAATAATATTAAACCTACATCTGCATCAAAATGGGTATCTAGGGGCAGTGTTATTTTGAAATACATGATGTTTTACGAAGTTTGATTTAGAGTAACAAGTGATACAGTTGTTCAGTGGCAGTAGTTTAGAATATTACATAGGTTTCTTCCTGTAAGTTACTACCTTAAAAAAACTATTAAAACTACAGATTGTTGTGCCTTTTTTAAAGAAGGACAGCGAAACAATACAACTTAAATTTTTATTTTGTAATGATATTTTGCTATGGAGATTCCTTTGTCATAACCTATTTTTTTGCTTGTCTGATGCAGAAGAAAGTGCCAAATTTCAATAGTGTCATGTCATCGTTGAGTCAAATACGAAACTAAAAAATTCTTATCCATGCAAAAGTATAAACTTTCTTATGTCAATTCCATATAATTTATTTTTGGTTTGAAACACGTCATATGATTGGATAAGAAAATAGTTTATATCATATAACCTGTGTTGCCTATGTCACAATGACTTACGTCAAAAGTGTATCAATTTTCTTGACGTTACGTTTAATATATGTACAATTTGAAGGCATTTTTTTTAAAGGAGAAATTGTCTTATTTTCACGGAAAACGGTAGGTGCCAGGTAGAAAAAATATTTTATCTGGCGGTCTCCAGATCAGTTTCTGGCGGCCGCCAAATAATTATCTGGCGGTCGCCACATAAATAACTGGCGACCGTCAGATAATAGATTTATAGATCTGGCGGCCGCGATTTAATTTCTTGCGGCCACCAGATAACATTCTGGCGTCCGCCAGATAAAATATTTTTCGACCAGGCACCTACCGGCTTCCGTTTATTTTCTACACTTAAATTATAAGGAATGAATTGAATAGCTGCCCAAGTTATACCTGGTACAACCTGGGGTTGGAACAGTTTATGCTATTTTATAAACCGCGCAGCGGTAAACTGTCCCAACCCAGAACTTGAATTAAATTCATTCCTTAAATGGTCTTCATGGAAATCTGTTTTTGATGAGTGACATTAATATTATTTAAATTCATTAGACAGTTCGAATTAATTTATTTATCTTTAGATTGTCTTTTAAAAGAAACACTGTATATTCCATAATTTAGAAAATACATGTATAACGTTTGAATAAGAGAAATAAGTGACAAAACTGATTTATTATTTATGACTTCATGAGAATTGTGAATAATGAATGTGGGTGGTGTGGGTGAGTTAGTGAGTATTTCATAAATGTTAAGATGTTTATCCACAATTACTTTGTTTATTAAATTGCAAGAAAAATAAAAATATTAAAATGTGTTATTTCTTTCTAGAGGTGTATATTTTTAATGTCTTAAGCATGCCTGGTTGTTGATGATTTTTCAAAATCTAATTTAAAGTTTTTTGTGTTTACTTATCACTTTTTATAGTTGTACAATCATTTGAACATATTTACTTGCTAATAATAACAATATTCCTATTTCCTAAGACGTTTAACATACGTATTGATTGTTTCTTCGCCGAGCGCCCGGCATTAGAGATGAAAGTCAGGGGTCGCTCAAATATGACGTTGAAAATTGTCCCCACATCATGATATGGCAGGTGCGAAAGCGTCAGCATGATTAGGAACCTTCACTACCACAGTCGTAAGCGCTGTGCAAAATTTGTAGAACTATACCGAAAGCAGGTAAAATGTCTCTACAAGAATGAAAAAAAATCGAGAAATGGCAGAAAGTACCCTCAACTATTCCCAAAAGGGGTTTAGTACACCGTATATGCTGCAGATGACTATGTATTATGACTTTCAAATTGACCCTATTTATTTGTAATTTAAAAAAAATCAAATGGTTTTCTTTTTTCACTGCTTTGTTGAATGTACAATTAATGATATCATTTAAAAAAAATGCATGGGAATGGGAATAATCATGCGAGTTTTGACTGATGAACACAGTGTGAAGTTTTCCCCTTGCGAAACATTCAAATGTTCACAAGAGGCAGCTCGTAAATATAATACTATGTGCAGGGACCTATATATTAGTTTATAATACTCCTCACTAAAATATTAACAGCAGTGAAGGAGAAACTTCAGGAGCACTGTGCAACAATATATTCGAGAAGTGGTGTAAATCAGATGCGGATACTCAAAAATCCCAATGAACTTTTGGAAAATTTGGAATTATGACCCCAGGGTCGAGGCCTCTTCCGGTGGACTGTTAGTCCCCGAGTGTCTCTACAACCCAGTAGCTTAGTACTTCGGTACTAGTTGAAAAAAACTTGAATATCTTTAATTGCTGTAGTAAAATTTAGAAATTTATTTCAAAATGAAGGATCATCTCCCTCATCCATAGCTCTGATTCTTCGAGGTATTTGGCTCCATTCTTTGGCACCCTCCTTTTTCAGTTCTTCAATTTTTTTTAATTTATATGTTTCAGGATTTCCAACGTTTCGGCAGGAGCATCACTTAAGAGACATTATTTGTCGAAATGCGCATCTGGTGCATCAAAATTGGTACCGTATATTATTTACATCACAAAATTTTCCCAAAATCAATAACATAAAAACTTACGACTTTTCAACTCTATATACAACCATTCTCTACGATAGATTAAAGTCCAGGCTTTTTTGACATCATTGACAGCTGCTTTTTCAATAAAAGTGGATCTCGTAAATTTACTTACCTTTTTGTTGGTCATTTGCAAAATTATTTTGTTTAAAAACATTCTGCTTGTACACACAAGTATTCTGAAGTTGATATTAAAAAATGCTTGAATTTCTAATTGACAGTATCTATGTGCTTTTTGGAGACCAGGCCCCAGGATCATGAAACAGACTTGGACTAAAGTCAAATTTTCAATTTCCTGTAAAATGTTTATTAATAATTAAATTATAATCTCTAAATTTGAAGATAAAAACACTTTTGTGAAGCAATATTGAAAAATATTTTAATTTTGGTCTGCTTGACTTCTACAACATTTTAGTACAACATGAAGATTTTGACTTAAGCTTAAGATGCTTCATGATCCCGGGGCCAGGTCTTCCAACAATTTGTTGGAATTCTCATGGGTACCACTTGCGCCCAGTTGTTAACAGACCTATTTTTTGTATTCATATGAAGCAGAATTTATTCTAAATATTAAATATGAGAAAAAGGTGTCTCTTTCTGTGGCCTTCAACTCGATATTTAGATATATCGACGACGTATTATCAATTAACAATAGTTATTTTCCATTCATATGTCGAAACGATATACATGTATCCCAGTGAGCTTCAAATAAAAGGTACAACAGAGTCTGACACATCTGTTTCATATTTGGATATTTTACTAGAAGAAGACGTTAATGCTAACCTAACAACAAAGCTTTATGATAAACTTGATGACTTTAACTTTTAAATCGTCAACTTCCCTTGCATATGCAGCAGTATACCCTTATTACCTGCATTTGGGGTGTATATCTCTCAGTTGATTTGATACGCAAGGGCATGCTCTACGTATGAACAATTTCTAAAAAGCGGTAAGTTATTGACAAACAAGTTGATGAAACAGGAATATCAACATTCTCGTTTAAAGTCATCATTTCATACGTTCTGTGGTCGATAAATGACCTTGTCAGCAAATACAATCTATTATTAAGTCATATGCTGACTGAGGTTTTTCATACTAATTGTTAAGCTATTATTTACACATTGAATTTTCGACGGATTTTTCCGTTATTTACAAATCATGACAAGGAGCATACGGCGGGTGTGACCGGTCGGCAGGGGAAGCTCACTCCTCCATGGCACCTGATTCCACCTCTTGAGCTTGAATACTGATCGGTATCTCCATATATTATATACTTCCCTGCTATGTGTTTCTTTATGGAAATAAATGGCACTTACTTCAATATCTTTAATAAATTGAGATGAATTGTTTTTTTTTAATGATAATAGTAAAATTACGCCATTTATTTGAATCATTGCCTTGAATCTATTTAGAAACTATCATTAATAAGAATGAAAGTGAGAGAACATTTACATGTATTATAATCCACACTACAGTTTCTATCGGTGGTTAACGAATCTATGATGGTTCATTCAAGAAATATTTGAAGCCTCCCCCTGGGATTAAAATTCTGTACAATCTCAAGAATATTTCATGAAGAATATAGTTAATACTCTCATGAAAGTTTAATAAATGAAAGACATTTATTGTTGATAAATACTTTTTTCATTTATATACACATAAATTGAAAATAAGTATAATTTCTTTTCAAAATATACGTATATTTCAGCCTTGCAGTGGTGCTTCCAGGATTTTTTTCTTTCAGATAAATGCTTTTTAAAAAGTACTTCTGGAAATAGCTATTGCGGATTAATTTCACCACCTTAAGTGTGAACGTGATGTAATGAAATCCACAAATTCAAACGGATTAACTGTGTAGTGTGAAAACGGTTCTTACTATATATAATATGTCTGTCTTTTTCTTCAGAAATATGAATAATGATATCAATTGCGTAGAAGCGAAATGTATTCCGAAATGATACTTCAATGTTTATTCTATTCTTTGACGTACATGTATCTATTTTCTGACTGCAGTATGTGGAGTAAACAGTATACCTATTTGAGTCAAACTCAGGGTCCTTACTTCTAGCATTAAGGCCATTTATGGACTTTTTGTAGCATGTAAAATCATATTTTTTCTGTTTGGTCACTAAAATTTTCAACTTACAATAAACGCATATTGTCTACCCAGTCATACTTTTTTAAAATATTAAATATCCAAAAAAAAGAATTCGTTATTTGGAGTTTACATGTTTTTATTCTGTCAGATATTTGGTGGGGTAGTGGTGGTGGTTTGGAGTAATTTTTAAAACTGAAAATCTTCTAATAATCTTTGTTGATGTTTATAAGATACAAATGGATAAACATTTTAATGCTGTTGTAAAGTATTAAAATTTAATTTTACAGAGGACACCGTTTATCTAATATAAATTTTTTTTTAATTTTCCAGTATCAGTAACATCATTATATAATATTTATCACGATGAATTAATGAGCAGGCTTTTTGACATCATTTGCAATTGCTTCTTCAATAAAACATGGAATTATAAATTTTCATTTCTTTTGATTGGTCTTCTCAAAATTACTTTGTTCTAATCATTCTGACTCTATATACAGATATTCAGATGATGATATAAAGAAGATAAAGTTTCTCATTGACAATATATGTGTTGTCTTTGGAGATCGTGCAGGACTTTCAACAATCTATTTGAATTCAATTGGCACTAATTGTACATTTTTAATAGTATCTATTCAAACTTCTAAATTAGATGAAAATTCTTTCTGCGTCCATAAATTCAACATTTAAATAATCTATATCGAAGACATTTTATCTATTAACTATGGTAACTGTCATTTATATGTTGACTCGATATATCCCAGAAAAATAAAAGACGCCGCAGAGTCTGATACATTGTTTCATATTTGGATGTTTTACTGATTAAAGAACAAACTAAAAACTGAAATATATGACAAGTTGGACAGATTCAACTTTTCCATTGTAAACCTTTGCTTTTTGTATAGTAATAGTCTACTATCACCTGCATACGGTGTTTGTCTCCCAGCTGATTTGATTACAAAGAGAAGTTCTGAGTACAATCAATTATTCATCGAGACAGGCTACTGAAAAATAAGATGAAGTTGCAGGGTTTTCTACAATCTTGTTTATAGGTAAGCATTCTGGTCCTTATATGACTTTGTTTGCGAATACAACCTATCCTAAGCCTTGGGTCGTATACTGGCTGATATGTTTCAGGCCAATTTTAGGCCATAATGTGATTGTTTATAAACTTATTTTGACAACTGATTAAGTTTTCCTGATAAACAGAGGGCTCACAGCAGGTGTTACTGGTCAACAGGGAATGTTTACTTCTTCTAGGCATCTGATCCCATCTTTCCCGTCTTTTCTTTCTTCACGTTGCGTTTTGTTTTCCAGCTTTATGAGATTGATCACAGTTCGTTATCTTAAAGGACAGATCGCATGTTTCTAATTTATTTGAAATTAAAAGCCTGTAACATTCCGTATAAGCACAGTTTATGAATTTTGTGTTTTAACTGTGGATAAATCGCGGTAATTAATCAATTACTGACTCCAAATAAAACACCTGATTTAAAAATCCAAGTTAATTAGATAGCGATCACGTGACCCTGTGATGTCAAAGACAACAATGGCTGATCAGCTGTTCACGTTAATCTTACTAAAAAATACCCGACACAAACTGAATTTTCTGCGTTATGGACGACCAAATCACTGATTTTTTTTAATAGGAAATCGATCATTCACCCATATAGAT